TATCTTATTTTAAGAGTAAAAATACTCATTCCATTGGCAAACTATCTTATTTACCTACTTAGAATAAGGATAAGTACACTTAATTTAAGATATTTTTACTTATTTCTAGATCGTTTTTGCAGTGTGGATCATTTTCAGGAAAAAAAAAACAAAACAAAAGTGGCTTTTAGGGGATATACCGCCACCTTGTGGTTAAAATCAATCAGCGCAATGATTCCATTTTTCCAGGTTTGAAGAAAAAAAAAAAAAAAGTAGGAAAATCTCAGTTTTGTCCAAATATTTCAAACCAGAGGTTCAACCTTCAAGTCATGTTTGGTTTCAGAAGCAGTTAAAAAAAAAAGAACTAAAAAAAAGGAACAGAAAAACAAAGATGACATTTTTAAACTGTATTTTTTATTATTTAACCAAATTTAATAATTTTTTACAAACTGACATGATTTAAACCCAAAAATAGAAAAAAAAAGAACCTTGGATTTCAGTTTTCTAATAAATTGTCACCATAAAGCCAAACAGTAGCAGTTCCTGAAACTTAACAGCTGCTTCTAACTGAAAAGATCCAAAGTTAAATGATTTATGGACCAACGAGCTCAACATCAAACCAGGAGCCGCCTTCGATCATCTCAATCGCTTTTCACCTCACCGCTGAACTGAAGATCAGAGATGATGAAGGCAAACAGAGTCCGACATTATTGGGAAAAATAACAACAGGAAAAACAAAATGTCCACCGTGGTCTTAGCCCACCCTGAGGGGCGGAGCTACGAGGACAACGCCGTCGCCTCTGACAAACAGCATGGGGATGTTCCTCTTCGTGGACTGAAAAGACAAAACGAAAAGATTCATTTTATGAGTAATAATCATTCATTAAAGTCACATTAAGGTTTGAAACATTCTGCTGGTGAAGATTCTCAGTCATCCAGGTCATAGCCATTCCAAAAAAGTTAAATATTTGAGATATAAATATATCTCAGGGTTTATACAGGAATGAATAACTCCAATTTAATGCTTTTTAATGCTCTTAGAAATAATTTTAATGCCACCAACAGGTATCCGTCGACAGGCTGCAGCCATGTCCCGACTCAAGCTTCTTTTCTGAACATACAGCTTTGTGATCAACCGGAAGCAGTTCCATGCAAATATATCGTGATATAATATGTCTCACGAAATTGTTTTTATAAACATTTTTTTAAATAAAGCATTTTAAATGCCACAATAAACACATTTCATGAATTTTAATGCCAATTAAGGCCTCAATTTAAATAATAATTTAATGACTTTTTATGATTTTTAATGACCCGCGGAAACCCTGTGTATTTACGCGTCGATGGCTGCCATAGAGTTGTTTTAAATATCGTTTGTGGGAAAACTCCAGATACATCAAGTATATTCGATTGATCGCCCATCCCTAGAATAGCCTTTATTTTATTATGAAAAAATAGCAAAAGGACTCGATCTGTGCCTTTGTGGATGGGAAGATGTTTGCAGGTTCCTCCTGGGTGAAAGTTTGATTTATCAGTAAC